GGTGGCACTCCGGCAGCCCATGTTTATACTATGTTAACTCAGGTTTCCCAGCAGCGGCCAGCGATGGTAGAAAATTATGAAAAATTGCTCTAAAAAGCTGCTTGTCCGGCGGGAGATCTACTTGTCCTCCGTGGAAATGGGCAAGTACGAACAAATGGATAGCCCTTATTTCGAACACTGGGATGGTATCAGGAACCTTCTCGAAGAAATGTTCGTTGGGATCTTTATGAAAGTTGCCACGAGATGGCGCGTATGTTTGAATGTCTTAATTCTGCTGAGCGTAGGTAAATGGATGAGTGCTTACCTATTCTGTCTTGCAAATAGATGTTGCTATACTACGTACGATGGGAGCTTCCATCTTTAATCTTAAGAACTGTGACCTCCAATTTCGGCACAGTGATGGCTTTTCCTACCATGATGCTACTATATACACCGACTATCACGAGCCTAGGTCGAGCCATTTAGATTTGTGCCGCAATTCTGCATTTCATCCCTATACCTTAACCCTTTCACTGCGGATGTACGCCGATCAGCACACAAATAAAAATGCCCATCATGCGGCTGTACGCAGATCGGCGACTTCGTCCCATACAAGTTCCCATGCACTCCGACTGATATGCAGTTCCATAAACATCCGATAGCTGGCAGTAGTGGTTAGTTATTGAGCAGTTCTTCCGTTTTCCGGCGAGAAAACCAGGTGTTTCTTTTCAAAGTATTCGAGTATTTTGACGTCAAAAAGTTTGTTTACAAAAATTTAAATGGCCCGACCACGTGCTAGATTCAGTGTAGAAGCAGTAATTGACGAAATATTTGCGGACAGTGAATCAGAAGGTGAGAACTTGGGGGATGATTCTGACATGTCTGGCGATGATTTGGGCTATGATGGCGGTAATGATAACAGTGTAAAAGGTGACAGTGACTCAGATGGGGGTCAAAATGCAGATTCCGAGACTGAATCTGAGAATGGCATGGACATATATATTGATGATCAAAGCGATAATGATGCACCCCCTCCTAGGCAAAGGCATCGTCAAGCCAATATGCCTAGGGCTGCAGGTCATAATTTTGATTGGGCCAAGCTGGGTCCTGATGTAAATGTACAGCCTACATTTAACCCTTTGTATCAAGGACAACCAGGTTTGAAAGCCGGTGCAATTGACCCTGATCATGATGAACCTATTGACTACTTCTACAAGTTTTTTCCTGTTGGAATATTTACTGAACATTATGGCACGAGAGACTAATAACTATGCCCTGCTGTTTATTGACAACCCTGTTGAAATTTCACCATCATCCAGGTTCAGGAAATGGAAGGACACTACAGAGGAGGAGATGAAGGTGTTTGTTGCTATTGAGATTGCCATGGGACTCTGCTCTAAAAATCGACTTACTGATTACTGGGATAGATTCTGGCTAACTCAAACTCCGTCTTACACTGAAGTGATGCCACGGGACCGCTACCATATCCTACGTTCATTTCTGCACTTCTGTGATAACGAAGGACAACATCCGAGGGGTCATGACCTCTATGATCCGTTGTACAAGATTCGCCCCGTAATTGATCTCGTTAAGGATACCTACCTGGACGCCTATGTGCCACATCAAGAGATATCGGTGGATGAGATAATGAAAGGGTTCAAAGGACGTCTGAGTTTCAAAGAGTATATTCCTAATAAACCCAAAAAGTGGGGAATAAAGATTTGGTCACTCTGTGATTCTAGAAATGGTTTTAACCTTAGATGGTAAGTCTATACAGGGAAGTTGAAGAAGGATGACCGTGGCGATGAGACATTAGGTTCCGATGTAGTTAGAAATCTTTTGGATGGAATGGATGGTAGTGGCCATAAAGTTTTTATGGACAACTTCTTCTCCTCCCCAGAACTGTTTCATAGCCTCAAACAGAAGAACATGGGTGCATGTGGTACTGTTCGATCTAATAGAAAGGGATTGCCAAAGAACATTGGTCCCAAAGACGTAAAACTGAAACGGGGTGATTTGCCTGTGTTTTGGCATGATGCAAATTACTCACTGACCTTCACCACGTGGCAGGACACTAAACGTGTGAATTGCCTTTCAACGCTTCATGGAAATCAAACAGTCAACAAGGAAATCCGATCGAAGGATGCCACTGGAAAGCGTACGGTGAAAAAGCCTGCTCTAGTTCAAGACTACAACAAATATATGGGTGGGGTCGATTGGTTTGACCAGCTATCAGTCTACTACTGCTATCCACACAAGTCCCAGAAGTGGTATCAGATAATTTACCACTATGTGAAAGAAACGGCACTTGTCAATGGCCACATTGCCTACAAAGAGAGCCATCCTGATGTCAACATTGACCAGATCATGTTCCGTGAGAAAGTCATTGACTCTCTCATTCCTCTGAACATTCGTACACATGCTAAAGACAAAGGAAACACTGTGGATAAGCGTAGGAAAAGACGCTTAGTTGAGCGTCACTTCTGTGCAGAATATGTCAACAAATCCTACAGGCCAGAGTGTATTGTGTGCTCTGATAGGCAGGCTCACCAGCGGCATCAAACTCGAAACTACTGTGAGGACTGCGACTAAGCCATGTGTTTCCCAGCATGCTTCAAGCGTTATCATACCCAGTACAAATATAAAGTCACTTATAACTAACTATATATGGAGAGAAGGTGTTAGAAAGACATTGGATTACTGTGTTAGTGTTTATTTACAGGATAACATTCACAATAGCATAACATTGATATCCTGACTCGAGTTACACGTTTTTACGAATTCTGAAACATTGACGATTCACACCTAAAGGTCTAAAAAGCGTTAAAAAGAAATAAAAAAGAATATACTACAAGAAAATAAAAGGATTACCTTGTCTATAAATTGTGAGTAGCAGTTTGAAACAATTAAAAACTTTAAAACATGAATGTTTTAGCTTATATTTCAGGAAATACAGGAAAATTAGACGTTTCCGGCATAAATTATGCTAAATAGCTAATTAGCATAATTTTGGCAAAAATTTAACTTAATATTTCTGAATCCCCTAGTCCCATACAATAAACCTTTCTAGTACTTCAGAGTTCTAGGAGCATTCAATATAGCTCAATTTTGGCTCCGAAAGTAACATGCATAAATTGGTAAAATGCTAATTTTGAACTTAGCATACTATGCATAAAAGGAAAATTTGGGGTTCGCAGCGAAAGGGATATACAGTGTATGACGACACTGCGCAAACGCTGGGCTTAAAAGAGCTTATTCTACGATAAAAATTTAACGCTTTGGGATATGAACAGTTTTTAAGTCCATAAGGAAGATCAGGCGGCGTACCAACAGCCGAGTGAGCTGTGAAAACGGAGCTACGCTATATCCCCATCATTATAGTCATCTCTTAATCAGCCACAAGATGGCTTAAAAACACTCTTATACACCCGGACCTTAATTACTTACGCAGTTGTAAAAATATGGTTTGTAGGTGTCGTCAAGCGTTGTTGTCATTCTAATATAATTGGGATGCGATATAAAGAGTTGCGAGGACCTCAGAGTTCAAGAAGCTGGATGTCAGAGATCTGGTATTGCTTGGTGCGTGTAATAACATTATGTATACAGTGTTTTTCTCGTTAGTGTTTGTATACAAAGCTGTTCAGTCCTGCTATGATAGAAATAACAGTCAGCATTCCTGCGCAGTGTGGATGCCACTTAAGTACCAGGCCTGGGAGAGACAAGTTTTACGGCAATGCTTGTGGGCGTGTTGTGCAGCTGCTGTTGTAATTAAATAGGGGAAGCGACCAGCGTGTGTCCTGGTGTCAGGAGATCAGACCGGTTTCCCAGGTGTCTGGAGATCAGACCGGTTACCCCGGGTGTCTGGATATTTGACGGTTNATGTAGTTACAATTATTCCTGATAATCTCGATTCATCTATCGAGGGGGATTGCCATTTGGTTAATTTGAAACTTGGTATATGTACTTGTGAAGCCTTCTATTTGCCTGTTTTGCAAACAAAAATTACATTAGCAGTACACAAACATTGATCAGTGCCTACAAGTTAAACACTGTAGAGCCCTTATCCAGTTACAATTTCATTCCTAACCATAGAGAATCTGTTCCTTCTTCCATCATTGATAAATTAAAACGTCAGTCCCACATTGCTAGCCAGTGATATCAGTGATGCAAACAAGGGCAACATTCTAAAAGTTTTTCATAATGAGTCATTGCGGAGTTAAATTGATAACTGGACGACCAGCAAAACGGCAGCCACATAATGTCGCCAACAGGCGTGCAGAGAGTCCAGTTAAAGATAATAACTCTATAATCCTCCCAGAACTTGAAGTAATCGACCCTTAAAGCCCCAAGGTTACCATGCTCAAAGATGCTGACCATTCAAGACATGGAGAACGAAAGATTATTAGGCCAGCTAACAAAGGTGTGTACTTTTCCTCTATGGTTAAAAATGCTGCTGTTAAGCTAGGAAATAAAGTGAAAAGTTCAGATGTTAAAACAAAAATTCCAAATAAAAATGATCCAGAAATCGTTAAGGATGATATTGAATTTTCAGCAATGTTTTTTAATTGACATGGTTAGCAGTTGTTCGATTTCGTATTGCATTGTATCCATATTATGTCTCTCAAAGAAACGTGCCTTGAAGATGATTTAGAGGATGCGGCTATCGCAGAGGAAGAGGTTTCTGTCAGGAGTCAAATATTCCAAAGATCACAAAACCAGAAGATATTGTCCATGAGAAACGTGGGTTGCTCAACGTGTGTAGCATCCTGCAACTACTCCGATTAAAAGTTTCTCCGCTATGTTCGCATAAAGGCTACCAGGAAACCGTGGAATGAAGTGTCAAAGTTGTCGGACCCCCCCCCCCCCAACTCAACCCACATCAAATTGGCGACGAGGACAGGATACATCTTGGGTGAACAGTCTGTGACAGCCTTCACAACATCAACCCGATTTGCGACAGCATTTCTTTACTTGCAGATTCGCTTTTAGAAGTTATAGTTATAGTTTTATCTCACGGGAGATGGCGCTAGCGGGGGATCTCCCGCAACGAGCAATTTGTGGGTACCCTCCGCGAGGTCGGTTCCAAGAAGCGAGAACAATAGAGAAAACGGCGCGAAGGGGAGATACGCCAGAGAGGGATGGCGGGCAGTTGTGTTTTTAGAATGCGTCCGATGTTAACTTAACCGTGCGCGTACTGTAATTTGTAGTGCTATTATGAGTGCTTCGTAGTGCGCGTACGGTACTAGTAGTAGTACTACCACACTACTACTACTAGTGTACGTGGTATGTATAAGTATTAGTGTTCTGTATGCGGTATTAGCTGTATGTAGCTGTAGCTGTATCATGTATGCTGTAGCTAGTATGTGATAATGTGTATGTAGCATTAGGCACACTGATAGTGATCGTTATAGCGGTGAGTGTGCGCAGACACATCGGTTTGTGGTTGCGCTAATAAACACTTCTAGTTCTACTAATTACTGCCTACTTTGCACTTCTCACTTTGTGACCCCGTGACCTGTAGGGTTGTCTGAAGCAATTGTGGACAAACAGACACAGACATCCGTCAATGCCACAGCAATAGCTTACCTTGACTTCGATCGTCAGGTAAAGCTAAACTCAGAGATCATAAAACTTCTTATACTAGCTTCAAATGGTAAGGTGAAGCATTAGGAAAACGAAGTAGTCGAAGATTTTTAATTTTCTGGCTGTATACCAAGCTATATAGGATTCATAGGGTACATATATAAATTTTTACATGAAGATATTAAACATGGTTAATTCTGGTCTATTGAAAACCTTTACATCGTCTGAAACTTAAATATAATCATTTATTTTAAATTTTAAGTGTATTGCTTTAAGTATCCATTTTCGTGACTGATGGGACACATATTTCGTGACTGATGGGACATATTTGCATACGTATATCATGCTGATCTATACTTGAACAACATTCCTTTTACTTCCAAATTGTTTGTGCAAGTTATTAAGAATAAGGAAAGAGAACATTTGTAAATAAGAGGTAATATTCTTTCAGTGCCAGTAATTTCATAGCACTATTTGTGACTGATGGGACACTGGGTTGTATGATAAGCTGATGATATTTTTTATGACGTTTTACATAATTTTGTATCCCAGATGAATAATTTACTTTCATCTATCACTCATTTATGTACTAATAACATATCACAATATTTGAATACTTTCACTCAAATCATAATTTGTCTTGGCTGAAAACTACTGTGATAAATAGGGTACTTCTGAGTACTAAAATAGAAATTACATAAATGGCAATAACTCATATCTGACTACATCAATTTTCTAAATTTAAAAAGCTCCTGAAAATTAGAGATTCTACATTTCCTACATTTTCTACATTTTTATGTTACAAACAGGATTTTCCCATTGAAAAATAGTTTAAGTATAACTTCTCAGAGCACAACATGGCCAAAATAAAGAAGTATATTCGTGTCTGAGAGGACGAGTAATACATTGACATTGTACATGTACATGTCCTATTAATACTGAACTGTTAGGATGGATTAGATAATTAGGCATATGCCTTTTCAGAAATGATTTTTCTGTTTTTTTTTTCTCTGGCATTATTTTCAACGGCAAAAATAAAATTGAAGCACCTACTTGGGTCAATGTGAAGGATTTGGTGGAATACAAGGACTTGAAGCCCCCGAAGAACAAAAAGAAAGGACAATTTCAGCGAAGTCTTCAAGCTGCAAAAGTTAGTTTTGTTTGAGTCATTTTCCCTGATACTGTGTTTTCTTTTAAATCCTGAATTATCAGTCTCTTTGATGGCTATTTCCACTTAAAAGTTACATTTTTATCAATTTTTCATTTTCAAGTGAAACCCACACTTAATTGGCACATTAGTCCCTTAATATTTTGTGGTATGGGAAATAGTTTGAGAGGTGATAAGATTGGTACCGTCAACCGGGGTGACTTTGATAATTAGTTATCAAAGTCACACTAAATGTCAAAGCTACCCTGGTTTAACAAAGAAGTGTCCAAAACCCTGTATAATTGTGTTTTTATAATATTAATAGTTTGTCTTGTCTATTGTCTTTGTTGGTATTGAGCTTTGATGTACCATAACAACGATGCCACGCATCTATAAACGAAAGGCTGGGTCAAGGGGATATCAAACTGGTTATTCCCAGGAAGTTCTACAAAATGCTATGCGGCAGGTGAGCAGTGGAGGTATGACCAAACTGGCTGCATCGAAGCATGTCAAGATACCATATGGAACAATATGGAATAAGACAAATCCGTCACCGCAACATACCGCTATACCAGGTGGACAACCAGTGTTATCGGCTACTGAAGAGGCAGCAATAGTAAAAGTCATCAACCACCCAACTGATTGGAAGTTTCCATTATCGTCTTCTGATATTCGTTACCTTGTACGAGATTATCTAAATCGACAAGGTAGAACCACAATCTTCCGTGAAAACATCCCTGGTTGGGACTGGTTAGATAATTTTAAGAAGCGTCAAAATCTTACGCAACGAATTGCGGACAATGTGAAGCCAAGCCGTGCTGAAATTAGGTCAAGAAGATTTCAAAAACATTTTCGAGGAACT